TTTCTTAAATAGAATAAAACCTCACGTGCCACTCTTGAAAACCTAGAAATAATTGCAAATGAAATAAAAGAAAAAAATGCATTAGCACAGGACACAGGAACTGAGCAGGGAGGGCACGCTCCTGCTAGCAGGGAGGTCAGAGTACTGGCTTCTATTCATAACACATTTAAGATGTTTTCTCCCATCTCTATTCAATGCACAATCTACACACAACCCCATAAGCAAAGGGCAGCTTTTACAGATGCTATGCTCCCCTACTGCTTCTTCTGCCCAGCCTTACGGGTATTTCTTCACCCTCCTAGGCAGCTGAATGACTCCCCGTAGAGGGTGAAAAATATCTGCACAAACACCACTTCCCTGACTATAGAGAGAAAGGTGGGGTAGGATTTCTCTGCTTAAACACAGGCACTTCCTGCCATTTGAAACACTAGGTTGTTTAAGACAGCTGCAAAAGGCTGGCAGGTATCACTCTGGACTTAGATGCCTTCCTCCAGCATGAGCTGAAGGCGAGACTGCGTGCCCTCCTCCCTCCCCTGCCCCCAAATGACACTGAACTCTTTATGTTTAGACACTTGCCCCTGCCTTGAGAATTGATGTGCATGTAGAGTAAGGGTGCAGAAAAAATTATGTTCCCATGATGGATAAATTAGGTGCCACCAGCTCCTAGTTAATGGAAAGCGGCTCTGACTGCTGTTTCTGCTGAATTCCCTGCTACTGTGGGTCTAATGCCAGAGACATGCTTCTGTGGGACTTGGGTGCATTTGTACTCTTGTGAACTACAAAAGGGTGAGGACATACTGCAAGGGAAAGGATGTTCACCTCGGGAAGACTGCAAAAGTTCCAGCTACAAGCAGCAGAGAAAGAGAAATGGCCTAACTGGTGACGGTAAACTACAACTGTCTTCCTGGGACTGCTGTTGACAGAAACATTTTATTACTTCCTGTTTGGAATTTCAGGCTTAATTTTCCCCAAAAGATGCTGCTGCTTTCTAGTAGGCAGAAGCCGACATGCTCCATATTTGTTCAAAGGTACTGAATACTAAATTCATGTACTGTAGTTTGATGTTTTAACATAGACAAATCTATTTCTTAATATTGTTTCGCTTCCTTTTCTTATTTGGGATGAAATCTGAAAAACTGGATAAACTGTAGCTCCTCATTGCATTTGAAAAACTTCTTGTTAGCTATAAACCAAAATTTTACATATATGACAAACAGACTTTATATAACAATGGATGCTTTGGAAAAAATGTGTATCAAGTTAGAATATAAAAGCATATAAAATATCTCTTTTAAATTTGTTAAGATTATGATTCAACTCATGACCATTTTGTTTCCAAAGGACTATTTTTGTTCCCTTTTTTATTCAGCTACTGTCAAATGCCAGGATCTGAACTGTATTTTGTATAATGAAACCTGAAACTCCCAAATTCCACAAAATGAAAATTGACACAAATTTCATTCAGTCTGTCTTATTATAATTGTCAAGCATGTATTTTAAAAGAGAGTTTCACTCCTGCCAGAAAGCTTCCCCATCTCATTCAGAAGAGCAAAACTATCACAAGTTGTGAGACTGAATCTCTGTGGGGTTCTGCAGACAGCAGGCAAGCAGCCTACCGACCACCCACCGCTGAGAAAGCGAGCGCTGCCTGCTTAGCAGCCTGCAGAACAAGCCCTCAGAGACACAGCAGGTTTCTTCACTCCTGTCAGAGATCCCTGCCTAGCACACCTTCCATTCATCCAGCATGCGGCACACCTCCACCTCTTGTGCCTCATACTTTTTTTGAAACACATCTCTAGGAAAATGCGATTAACGTGGCTAGTATTTTCCAACATGAAAAAGGAAACAGCTGTCCTCAGATTCATGTCAATAGAGGACAAGGGGCGTTCAGCCTAGAACAAAAGCAAACACTTTGCACCCTGGAGGAGTAAACTATGCCCTGTACAAATGCACTGTTTAATTAATAATACAGGCTGCTATCCATTACCTGGTACTTGTATTTCTTCCAAGCTGCACAAAGAATCCCTAACTGCCATAGAAATTTTATACTGGGAGGTAAGAGAAAGGTGTTTGACCCAGTGAAGGCATAGGCTTTTCATCAGCTGCAGGGCTAATTGTAGTCAATCTATTCAGGGAGGTTACTTTAATTAACCAACAGGTAAATAAATACTGTAGGCATAGTGCTCTTTAACTTTATGGGTTTTTTCCAAGCTTGCAGATTGATAGGAGCACACAGGGAGGCCCATTTCAGTAACTTCTGTTTCCAAGGATCTGTGATATTTCTAGAAGAAATTGAGGATACTGGTTGAAGACCCAGAATAGTGTTGCCGGTAGGTAGCTCCGAAGCACATAGAGAAATCATTAATTTCTTTACTTGGAGAGGATCGTTTTACTTTATGGCATACATGGGGAATGACATTTTACTTCTTCAGTGAAAGACAGAAAATTCATGGAAATTTTCCTTTTTTTTGAGGAAAGCAAAGCTAAAGAACATAGAAGACCTTTCAAAATGGGGTAACTGTTGCCTGCCGCTTTCAGTAAAGATAATACCTTCTGTCTTCTCCCCCTTCTTCTTTTTTCCTTTAAACGGGACGTGAAGTTTCTTCCTACCAAAGACTTGCTGAAATGTTTACCAAGTGTGGAATCATTAAACAATGCGACTATTTTTAGAATACAAGACACATGCTGGTGAAAAATAAAGACAGCATAGGTTCACTGTGCTTTGAAAAATAAACCTCAATTAAAGTTCAGTGGCAATATAAAATGTATCAGGCCTTATTTTCATAGAAGAGAAAGAGAGCCATGCAAATCAACCTTTTTAAGGAGACTAAAATTAGCCACTTGTTTCAAGAAATACATTAGGAAGTCGTATGAGTAGATGCAGACAAGACAGGGATGCTGTATTTAGATGAACTTTCAAAACGGAACAGTTAACACTGTCCATACTAAAATATTAACTCGGGAGGAAGGCACCATTTAAGCAGTTCCCCCTTGAGCTGCATATAACCCAGATCAGCAATGGAACAAACAACAGCAAGAAGTTAAAACTGGTTTTGTAGCTACCCAGTTTCCCCGAGTTATCGGAACAAAACCTCATTTGATACACAGCAAAAATTATCAAAAGACAGGCCCTGAATTAGAGAATTATAACTTCTATAAACTTGTTAGGGTCTAAACCACTCCAGAACACAGTTTCAAAGATGCATTTAACACATATTAACATCAATTTTTATTACAGAAAGGATCTTTTATGCTATCTGTAAATAAAATTCACCTTGCCTACACTGAAAACAAAATGTAGCAAACGTTTAGGGTAGGTTGTACATGAATAATCTCAAGCCTTTTATTTCAAAGTTTACAAAATTTGTCAGATAAAATAAAAGCTTCACAAAAGAAAAAAAGAAATTACATCTGTTCTGAAAAAAAGCAATACTCATTTCTTCCTCATTCTATCATTTCTAATACACTCAGCTACCTAGTCAACATTTTTGTTATCCTGAGGGTTTATGCAAAAAGTGAGAATTTGGATTTCAATTACATAGATAGCCACTGTACATAAAGTGTTATCATCAGCTTAATAAAACATGTATCATGATAAATTTTTAGGGGTACTTAAATAAAGTGGTCCCCATGTCTCCTATGCATCTTCCTCAGCCTATCAGAAAGGGAGGAAAAATTATGCATGGGAAAACATACTTTTTTAGAGATTAAAAAGGAAGAGAAAGTATTTTCTGCTTTTCTACATTCACCAGGATGAAGCAGTAAGCACCAAAAAAGGGAAAAGCTTGATTTCATATCTTAACAGTAGATTTGCAAAAGATGAATTAATTCTTTATCCTTATCTCATTAGCCAAGGAAAGAGGTGGAGTCAGACAAATGGAGATGACTTTGCACATACTGCGAGCAATGTAAATGATTATTACACACACACCCCCTGCCCCGACCTTAGGAACTGCACAGTGCTTAGGAGCTCCTAAAACAGTAACGCAGCAGCTACAACAACATTTCCCGGGGAGTCCTATGGCTGACCATAAACTTGATGACCATAAAGCACCATTCTGCTTCCTGGGAACAGACTCAACCAAGTCTTCTAATGTATTCTCTCATTATTTTAACAGTTAGACATATGAACCACACATGTACATGAAAGGATCTGTTTCCTAGTGTGAACATTTAAGAACAAAAGCTACTAATTGCAAAAGCAAGGCATTTCCCCCACGACCGCGTAATCTCTCAATTCCTTGTTTGTCTCCTCCAAACTGTTGGCAAGCTGGGTGCTAAGAGGACAACTCCATACCAAAGGATGGCTTCCAACTGCCCCAACTCTTTGCTTGCACAAACAGCTCTGACAACATCGGTTTCCTTTTATGCTCCATCACTACAGATGGTGAGACTCATGCCTGGCAAACAACTCCTACAGCAGCTTGTCAGTGGAAAGGACACACCTTCAGAGGGAACTCCTCCTGCTCTCCTGCAGAGAGCAGCTGTGGAAATCAGAGCCTAAAACAACCGAGCTGTCCCCTGCCAGACTTCTTCAAGAACTCGGTTTGTTGAGTCTCAACCTTTGCCCGCTCTGAAAACTCCTCTGTAACAAAGACACAGCAGCATTTCTAGCAATGAAAACTTAGCTTCCACTGAATTTTAAGTCCATTATTTCTGAAGACATCCATATAAAATAGAAAATTTAGCAATATAGCACATAAAACTACAGAACCTACTCCTGTGCAATGACTGTGCAGCTGTTATTAAATGAAAAGAAATGTAACACTTATCATGAGGAATTATGTAGGAGAGGGAGAAAGTAACAAAAACGGTTTGAAGTGGAAGAGACCGTAATGGATTAGCCACCTAAAAAACCAAATTAAGAATGGAAGAGTCAATGTTTTCCCCCTTAAAAAAATTTACCCATTACATTTAACATCTGATCTACAAGTAGAAAATTATAAAAAAATAGTTTCTACTCAAGCAATCCAAAATAGTTTAAGCTTTTGCCCAAGTAGCTGAATTAAGCGGTCCATAAAATAAAAGTATTTGATCTATTATACAGTAAATTACAGTAAAATATACTATTATGATATAGTTAATTGAGTTAATTCCACTTCTGGGCTGGAACAAGAACCTTGAGGGCAGTTCTGGTTCATCTGAAGGAAACCCCAGTCTCCAGGCTGGATCCTGGAACAGCAAGATACTCTACACAACTTAAGTTGGCTCAATGGAGGATAGACTATCAAAACGTTGTTCTCCATTCTCCCTTGAGCAAAATGACCTAACTGTAAATTGTGTTGCTTATAAACTAGGTGGTTGAAGTCTCTAGGGCACAGGCCTGTAGAAGACAAACAGTATCTATAAAATTAAGTCCCATTCAGCTAGCTGAAAATTTTACAAGATTGGACTACTTGGAAAATATTTTTATGACTTTTTCCTGAACAAAGTTTGAATTATTGGCGTAACAAGAAGGAAAAAAAATCACAGAAATTGGTTGAGAATAAAGCTACAATACTCTAGACATAACCTCACAATAATGTAAATAGAACATCAATATTCAAAATGGAAATAAAGTTAAACCAAATGCAAACTATATAGTAAAATGTCTGTCTTTTTGAAGATGAAGCCTAAAATTAGGTCTTCATTAAGAAAGCATACTTTGACCTGACACTTCCATAGGTACGCCACACATATGTAAACATCTTCAGCAACTAATCTAGAACTGTGTATTTAACGTGTAGCATATTTCTTCAGATTATAGCTCTTCTCTAGCCAAAAACTCCCTCAAATTACTATGTAGATAACAAAATATCTTTTATTGACAATAATTAACCAGCCCTATTAGCTTGGACATAATAAACTTGGTCATTTTATCAATCCAATACAAATTTAGTTTCCCCATTAACTCCAGTTTCAGGTATTATCATAAAATGATACAGATACACACTAACAAAAAAAATCACTTCAATATACCCATTATACAGACTGAATATACAACTTTGTATATTAAAATATGTGATAGGTATGAATAAAATTTATATCGTTTTAAGTTCTTCTTTTCCTCAAGAGTTTGAACATGCTAGATGTAAATATGCTCGCTTTTCTTCCCCACTGTGGAGTAGAAACTGAGTTACAATAAATAAATGAAGCACTGCTTTTTTTTCCCATTCCCCCAGATTTCTTGGCTTCCTGATCCTGCTAAAAATTGATGTTTTGATTGTTTCAAGCTTCAAGTTAGTATGGAATTTCTTTAGAAACTTATACCATTAAGTACTGCAAAACAAAAAAAAAGGTATGTGTACTTTATACTGCATGTTTACTTGAGTTATAGGTGAAACATACCTACAACAGGGGCAGAGGATAATATACCTATCCATGTCAGATTTAAATGACATCTAATAAAAATCAATAAGCTTCAGAACATTCAGGAAGCAAATGATGGTGCAGAAGCCAAATTACACTGTTTTCCACAATTCTATCAACCAGATGATTTTAATCAGTGAAGATATTTTTAGAAAATTGAGTTCTTGACTTCTTGACATTTCAGATCACAATAAAGTTAACATCAAATCAGATGAGATAAATTACAATGATGAATGTTCAAACAATATGACCTGTGCCTGACTTTCAGATGCTGTTCGCTTGAGCAGCCTGATTTGGTCCAGTTCTGAATGCCCCATTGAATTCTGAGTTAGAGACTGCACTGGGTCAGTTATGTTGTATCTGCCAGGCTGATAAAAACCGTAATACTCTATCCTCTTTTCCCCTGAGTTTTCCAGCACTTTTAGTTTCTGCCTGAAGTGAATTATTTTACAGGTTAAGAACAGGATCACTGCACAAGCCAGAATGAAAAAGGCTAGTAAAATGTCAAAAGCCTGATTCAGCTTTTCGACCTGTTGTGTACAAAGTAGGGATGTTTTTAATGATACAGGAATAGCATCTGTTGGAAATAAACCTTTTTCCTCTATGGTTCTGTTAGTAGGTATAATCTGTGCTGGTATTTGCACCGGCAACGTTGATAATACCGTAGTTGCCTGTGGTGGAATTTCAGCAGCATTCTCTTCATAGGGCAATGGGTTAGCAGATGTAGCTGTAGTGCCTTCCCAGAAAGCAACGTATCGAGTTCCTGCATTGACAAACTGTTCAAACACGTTGTGCCTGTTTCCCTTATGCCACGCCACCAGCAAAGTGGTAGTGCTGTGATGGACACCTACCGATCCTAGACTCAAGGCTGCGTCTGGGCTGGCAGTAGGGCTACTGCAGTTTGCAAACTGAGTCCACCTAATGTAATGCAAAGGCCTACCACGCATGCTCAGGGGATTCTGACAATGAATTTTTACAGAAATAGGAGATGACGCAAGCCAATTAAGTAACCCAAGCATTTTGCAGCTGCAGTTCCAAGGATTGTAATTTACCTGTAGATGAGTTAAAGACACTAAGGGCTTGAGCACTTCAGGCTGTAACTCTGTAATATTATTAAATGCTAAACTGAGTATTTTAAGTGACTGTCCCATTTTTTCAAAGGTACCATCACCGATACTGGTTATTTTATTTCTGTCTAGCTGCAGATACATTACATTGCTCAATAAAGTAAAAGTACTGGAATTTATATTTTCTAATTCATTGTAACTTAAGATTAACTGGCTAAGGTTGTTTAATCCAAAAAATCCATTTACAGCAATACATTTTAGCTTTACATTTTTTAAAGACAGATATCTAAGCTTGTTAAGTCCTTTAAATGCAAAAGGATGTATTGATCCAATGGGATTATGAGACAAAGAAAGTCTTTCAAGATTTTTGAGCCTTCCAATAGCATTCGACGGCACAAGTGTTAAGTTGTTACCTTCAAGGAACAAATACGAAAGGTTTTCAAGGTGATGAAATGCTGAATCTGATATCCGTGAAATCTTATTATTGGCTAGGTTAAGTGTTTGGAGACTTAGCATTCCCAAGAAAGTCCCACTTCCAAGGACACTGAGACGATTTCTTTGGAGTGTTAAATATCTAACAGAAAGGAGATCACTAAATAATCCTCTGGGAACAAAAGCTATTTGATTATTCTGAAGGTATAAACAATGAAGATTGGAAAGACCTTCAAAGATTCCTGGATCCAGCCGTTTAATATTATTGTTATTTAGATGCAAGTAGCATAGTTTGCGGAGTTCCACAAAAGCTTTTGGGTGTACATATGAAATACTGGAGTTATCCATGTAGAGTGCAGCAAGCTTCTGAAGGCCTCTTAGTTCATGTGGAGTGACACGCGATATATTATTCCCGCTGAGGTACACAAGAATTGTCGTTTTTGGAAAGTTCCGCGGGATGCTTGAAAGCCCTAAATTACGACAGCTAACTTGTCTCCCTGTGCAGAGCTGGCAAGCAGCTGGACAGCCATGAGCCTCCTTCTGAAGCAGCAACCAAAGAAAACAATTAAGGATATACAGGAATGCTCCCGGGCAGGGTGGAGAACTTTGCAGGCCACACATATCCCTGTCTTTGGCCTTCTCACTCATCTCTGACTTTGCTAGTAAAGATAAAAAGAAGTTTATAAATATTATTAATTCGAAACTTTAAAGATTCTATGTTTACAGTCTTTTAAAATCTAAGCATTGCTTTCAAGGTAGGTATTTTATATATTCTCCTTTGATGCCAAATAAGCACTTCAAAAATGAAATTTACTAAGTTTAAGTTTGAACTAAACTGAAAACATTTTCAAAGTAAATGAACAATGAAACAAATGTACTGCCAGCCTAGCCAGAAAATATTTAATTGGTTGCAGCATAAAAGCGACTAAGCTGTGAAAATAAAAGCTTCTAGTAAATTCAAAATACCACTGCTTATTAACTATTTTTTATAGTTAAAATGACTAGGAAATGTTTCAATAGCATTCAAGTAGAAATGCCAACTGGAAACAAGTTTCTTTCTACTGGCAGCTCATTTACAATTTGAATTTTACTTTTATAAAGCTGAGATACATTCAAAATAAATAAAACCAATTCCTTACCCCAAATCTGAAGTTCATTATTTCTGTTATTTTGCCGTTTTGCAGTTCACTGGACTAAGTTACAAGCTGACCGACTATACTCATCTGTGAAAACTTTGTAAAGGCAGTATTGCCGTGTACTAGAACGCTCACATTTTGCCTCAGGATTTGCCACTGTTCACTCAGGAAACTAAGAAAGAAGTGGTTAAAGTCAGGTTGCCATGGATACAGGAAACCCTGGGACAGGAAGCCATTTTATCTGTGCTTCAGAAGTATTGTTGGAAAGGAAATCTCAATGATTTGTTTCTAGAAAACCAAGAACTATCTTAGTTTGTAACTGTCGCCATTTTGGTTTTTATAAACTACTGTTTTTTAACTAGGAGAGCCCAGAAGAGTTTTATCTAACTTAGGTTGAACATTTAGAATAAAGCATACCTATCTGTAACAGCAGTATTGCATTATCAGTAAATCCTTTATCTTTCAGCCCAAATCCAAAATGTTTTATTAAATCAGCAGCAACGCTTAACACTGTTCTCTCTGGTGGAAGCATTTTCTGTCTGCAGTGCCAAAATGCTTCCACCACACACACACACACTCCAGCAGCCCAGGAGAGAAGGAGAAGATGGAGGTCTGGAGGGCAGAGCCCCGGTAACTCCTGCAGACCCTGCCAGCAGTCCCAGGGAAGCCCAGGAAAACTGAGATATGAGAACCACATGATGTGGTACTAAATTGTTGTATTTCAGACTTGATCCAGGCACTTTGTTAAGCCTCACTTTTAAAGCCCATTCATCCACAGAGGACTATGTATATTCTGACAGCCACAACTTTGGTCCACAGCTTTTATTTCCTGCAGTGTCCCTTTGTGCAGACAAACACTTAGTGCAAACATGTGCGCTATAAATATCCCCCTCGCTTGAGTACCGGAGATTACATCCTCAGTTTATCCATCACAGACTAAATACCTGCAAAGTCCAGTCACATCATCAAAGGGGAAGAAGGGAAACAACAAAATGAGATGGTAAATTAGACATTAAGCCTACAAATAGCAACGTAACTACAAAATCACGATTTATGCTGTAATGAGACCTTCCACTCAGCAAAATGAACATGACAAAGCCCAGCAGTAGCCATAGCCAAGGAAGACACACAACAGCAGAAGAATCAGTACACTTCAGCCACAATGATCTCATACAGGAAGCACGAGTTCACTTAAGTGGTGAAAGATCACCCAAATATCTTTGTCTATAGTAATCCAAGCTGAAATGCATGAAGCACATGAGCAAAGGAAGCAGAATAGACAAGGACATGCTTCTGAAGAGGCTTTCTTCCGAATTCTGCCAAAAGAAACTTACATTTCTGAAGTTTTAAAAAAAAATGGTTTTGACCATATGTGGCTGGCTCTTTATGTTTGAAATCTGTAAAACATTCAATATCAAGAGACATACTCCTTCAATTTTTCAACTTGAGCTGGCCAAAACTACCTAGAGTTTAGCTAGGGGAATGCTTAAAAAAACCCCAAACCCCACACGAATTAACGACTTATAATTCTAACAGAGTCAATACCTCTTACAATACCTACCCTAAAGTAAGAAATCAATAGGACATACCTCTTACAATATCTAGTCTAAAGTAAGAAATCAGAAGGACCAGTAAAATTGGTCCATGGGACACTTTAGACAAAGCCTGTATCAGTCACAACCCAGAATTTGAACTGCATTTGGTTCTTTTTTCTGAGACCATTAAACCAATAGGAAAACTAATTGTTCTTTAGATTCAACTATTGATTTTCACATCCTAACTTTTCACAGTATTTAATGTAATCGTTGATATAAAGGAAAGTAAAATAAAATGGCATGTCATTTCCTTAAAGGGAAAACACTGCATAGTTTTGAACAGTTCCCATGATGATTAGGGAAGTATCCCGGATACGGGAGACAGAACAGGAAGAGTAATTGAAAAAGATTATCCGGGTCAAATAGAGTCACGTGAGGGGAAAAACAGACTGACCAAAAATGAAAAATTACTTTGAACAGGAAATGATCTCCTACCTAGGCTTCACTATCCATAGCCTATTTATGATGATATTTACTTGGATAAAGAAATCGTTGCAAATTATTTCTTTCAAGATGTGCTGTGTGAAACAACCCCACAGGGCTAGAAGAAACAGGTCCCAATCTAAAAAAAAAAGTTTTAAAAGACAAATGCTAATAGATCTCCTTTTTTGCAAAATGCCAGAATTAACTTATCTAGAAAGACTGAAGGAATTGTTGAAGCTCTATGATATATCAGATAGAATGGGAATTTAGAGAAAGCAATAGAGCAGTGGCCAGGTGAATGAAAGCTGGTGCCCAGTAAGTGGCTTAATGTCTCTGTGGTTTTGTACTAAAGGTACCTTATCAATATTCATAAAAATTTTGCTCAAACCCTAGCTGCCACTGTGGTTCTGAGCACATTGCTGACCTTCCTGATTCTCAGATCCCACGTACAAAATGAGGACAAAAATCTTAATCCAGGTCATGGCTCCTTTCAATTTGCACTAGGAAATCTGGAGAAAATCCTGTCTTGCACTTTGTAAATACAGCACCTGGAGGCCTGCAGATCCAATTGGATTGTAATTTCCAGGTATTGCTTCATTAACAGCACACACTGTTAAAGTATCTAAGAGCAGTAACTGTTAAGAACGAGAGGCAAAATAACATGACACATAGCTGGTAACATTTTGGAGAAAAACATTAAAAAAGCTGGGATACACATAATAACTTGTATCAGCTTTCTCAAACTAGCTTGTACTTAAACAATAAAATTCATTACTAGTTGAAAACTGCAAGGAAAACACTTAAACAGGGAAAGCCCAAACATTTCAAACAAGGTTAAGCAGCTCCAATAGTGGTATAATATTTTATTCACTGCAAATTTTGCCCTCCAGTGACAGAAATACCAGGTTTATATCTGAATACAGCTTCATGTGGCAACAGAGAAAATTTTTTTTGAATCCTGCACTGAATTTTATCTTTAATATGCTAACATGAATAAAGTTACTAATGTCAGTGCTTTCTAACATATTAAAATCTAGTTGAACAATGACTCTTTGTCAATACCAGCATGAAGTCTGAGCAGCAACAATTTGTCAAGTTGTGCATAAAATGGCAGGTCAAAGTATTTGGAAGAACTTAAAAGCACTGCACCCAGTGTAGCCTTTCCAAACCACTTCTATTTTCTCAGTGATCTATGTTAGATTAAAGCCAATATAATTCAGGTTATGAGTATTAGTTAGCATAAAACAGTCATCCAACTCCAACTTACGTATAGCAGAAAAACATTCAACAAGTTCAAAACCAGAATCTAAAGTCACCCATCTTTAAAACGTATCAAAGCCAATTTTTGAAGAGGGATTTCATTCTCATGATCACCACAAAATTATGTTAAAGTTCACAAAACAGAAGAAAACCAATTTTTAGCACTACAGTTATTCTTCTGGGCTTTTAAGAGCAAAAGTATCTGTTGCCCTCCCACTGTGTATTTAGCAAGTACCTCCTCTTGCAGGTCTTCCTTCCTTCAGCTTTTATTCTCCACAGGTCGGCTGTGATACCACTTTCTTGTTTTGTTTTCAAATACTTACTACCTTCTGCCCATGTAATTCTCCAGATACGATCGCAAGTCAGAGTAATGCAGCTACTAACCTACTGCTTGGGTAGCACACACATAAACATTTAATCTCATTTCCTCTACCTACATCCAGTAACACCCGCTGTGGACACCTTATTGAAGTTAACTTATCAGACCTCAACCCCCTTTTTTGTTATTCTCATCATCATTCAGATTATCTCAAAATTTCTGATTATCTCAAATATTGCAGATGCCTCATAGTATTTCATATTCCTGCTTAAGTAAAAATCTTGATTTGCTGCTTCAGTTACTGAAATTTTCTCTTTTCCACGGAGTGCTAGTCCACTCTTGTAATAGCAACAGTGATAGTTACAAAGGGGAGACACAGGCACAGAAACTGTAATACCAAATTAATAACCTAGCAAAAACGTACCTGTTTAATAAACCCACAGTACTAAACATTTGTATATTTAAACATCCATCACAAAATCTATTTCAAAATTATGAAGCTGTCTTTGTAACTTCCTTTTTAACTTTGGGATTTATTATTTTTTGATTAGATTATCAAGCATATTTTGTAACATGCTGAGAAACAGCATAAAAAGTTAAAACGATATAATTGTTTTTCCCTTTGAGGATAAGAAAGTAAGTTTCCCTTCTATAAATCTTGTTTGGCTTTAGACTCTAGTAAAAAAATATGACAGAAAGCTCTTATGAAACGAAGAGCTCACTTTGAGAAATTGTTAAGAGTATATTTCTCACCTAGTAGTAAATAATTATTGCACCAGTGAACTGCCTTTGTCACGCAAACTGGCAAAAAAAAAAAAGTCTTCCGTGGAGTGAGTGGTAAGTCTGTGAACAAAACAATACCATAAAGAAGACTGGCCATCAACGAAATATGATATCCTGAGAATAACTGTATTTATAGTTTTAGCCTTTATTATTTGCTGCAATATTTAGTAAACTGTTCAAACTATAATACTCAATATGAATGCAGTTCAAACGAAAAGGTTTGAAGAACTCAAAGCAAGTTCCCAAATTTCAACCAGAATAACAAATTCAACTTCCAGAAATTGATTCAAAACTAAATCCAATTGTACAGCTTTCAGCAGCATACTGCCTGCTAGTTTAGGAGACAGGGTGGGCATGCACTTGGCATTAGCTTCTAAAAATTTTTCAAAAAGTGAAAACATAAACAATTAGTGCATCTCCTGAAAACTACTACAGAGAATACCCACATGCAAAATACAAAAGCTATTTCTTCCTTAAAAATACAAACATTCTTTACACTAGGCAATTCCTTAATATAAAAACCTGAAGTTTTATTTCAAGCTCTCACTTTCTTATTATATCGTTTGAATAAGAAATGTTAATTTTTATGACAATACTTATTTGCAGAAGTTCTTGTAGCGTCATGGGTTTGTGATGTTAACCACTTTTGGTATCTTATCATAAAGGCCTGCCACTGTTTAGAAAAGTCATCAAAAATCTCAGCTACTCTCACACAATCTCAAAGTTCACAGAGTATAGGGCAGAGAGATAAGTAGGTGTACCAAAAGAGCTCAGAACAATCTCAGGTGGAAAAACAGCTGCAAATCTGTGTCAGTTTGTTTTTAACATTTGTTAGAATCTTGTGATTTTTACACATTTTTAATAATATGCTATACTTTAGTCACTGCTTATTCAGTAACTAATTTGAAACATGTAAACCACACATTACAAAGGACAAAAAGTTTGAAGAAATCAATTTAGTCCATTATCATCTTTTGCTGTCTTTTATATAATTAAAATGTTCAATTTTAGGAGAGGTTATATTTACAAGAGTTTTAAGAAAGACTCTTGAAATTGTCCTGGTTTTGACTGGGTTAGAGTTAATTTTCTCCCCAGTAGCTGGCACAGCGCTGTGGTTTGGATTTAGTACGAGAATAATGCTGGTAACACGCTGATGTTTTAGCTGTTGCTGAGCAGGGCTTACACCAGTCAAGGACTTTTCAGCTTCCCCTGCTCTGCCAGAGGCACAAGGAGCTGGGAGGGGGCACAGCCAGGACAGCTGACCCCAACTGGCCACAGGGCTATTCCATATGGCATCATGCTCAGCATATAAACTGGGGGCAGGTGGCTGAGGGATGGGATGGGCACCTGTCAGCACGTGATGAGCAGTTGCATCACTTGTTTTTCCTAGGTTTTATTTCCCTCTCTGTCTCCCCCATTCCACCCTGGGGGGAGGGTGAGTGAGCAGCTGTGTCGTGCTTATTTGCTGGCTGGGGTCAAACCACAACAGTACTTTTTGGCACCCAACATGGGGCATGAAGGGTTTGAGATTATAACAGATTAACCAGAGCTTATTAAGGAATTTGTATGTGTTAGCAGTTGCGGGTCATGATACTGATTCATCTGTTATCGATCTCTATCTGATCTGCACCATGCTCCCTTTTTTGCTGTACATGTTAAAGATTGATGTTAAGTTTTGTGGTTTGCTGTGCTCTGTGGTGGTTAGTGATGTTTTGCCTGGGAGATTTGTTATTAAAACACTGATCTTGAGCTTTATCTGGTATTTAAGTTTCGTACTGAAGGCATTAATGTACTTCAGTACCACCTCGTGGAGACAATTAGCAATTATACTTCTTCCTCTGAGAGGTTTTTCATGGAGGAAATACAGAATGGCACCTTCGCTACCTTCTTCTGTGATGTTTCCTCCTTCATTACAATAGCTTTTCAGTGTCTTGAAGATCCTTGGATAGTTAAGATCCATCTGTTGGTATTTCTTTGGAATATTGTTTTGGTTTTGTCTAAGATTTATAAGCAATGTAAGAATATCATCCAGAGATCAGCTATCAGGGTGTGTGGGACAGTATGGGCAAATGCCTAGGATGGTGAGTGCCGCCAGTGTTTGGAACTTCACCCCTTGTCCTGGTTTCTGCTGGGATAGAGTTAATTTTCTTCCTAGTAGCTGGCATAGTGCTGTGTTTTGGATTTTGTATGAGAAGAATGTTGATTCGGGGGGAGTTGGCTAGAGGGAGAGCTGCTTGGGGACGGGCTGGGCATCGTCAGACAGCAGGTGGTGAGCAATTGCATTGAGCATCACTTGTTCTGTATATTCTGGATATTCTCTTACCATTATTATTATTATTACTATTGTTATTCTTTTCCTCTGCTGTTTTATTAAACTGTCTTTATCTCAACCCATGGGTTTTACTTTTTTTTTTCCAATTCTATCCCCATCCAACTGAGGGAGGGGAGGAGTGAGCGAGTGGCTGTGTCGTGTTCAGCTGCCTGCTGGGTTAAACCACAACAGCCCTGAACAAGTGCAGAATCCTGAAAAATTAGTAGAATATTTGGAAAAAGTATGCTGTCACCTTGGCAATTCTAGGGAGACACAAATCACTGTAATGTGCTGGGGCCTGGCCCATGCCTACCAAGCCCTGTGCAACACTATTCAGTACCCTCAAGGGGAAGAGAAGGTCTCTGGATCTGATGACAAAACAACAGGCACTGCAGCTACTCCAACCCCCACAGCCACTCCAGCCCCTGTGACAGGCACTGCAGCTGAACCAGGGAACCAACCCGTGCTAGTGTCAGCCTTATACACAAGAAGAAATCTCGGAAGCAAAAGTCTGCTCATTTAGGAATGCATGATGGAAAAAGCCGGGCCATCACACAGTGAGGAGAGAAAGAACTTGCAAATGAGACAGAAACCACCAGACCCCTATCCCTGAGTGAGCTGCAAGATACGTGAAAATATTTCAGCCAAGATATGTGAAAAGATTTCAGCTGTGGTCCAGGCAAGTGCATTGTCACCTGGCTGCTCCCATGCTGGGATAACGGGGCCTGGAACTCGAGGGTAAGGAAGCCAAGCAACTGGGATCCCTTTCTAGGGAAGGGGGCATTGACAAAGAGTTTGCAAAAGGGGCAAAAGTCCTCTGGAGGCGACTCCTGTCAGGCATGAAGGAAAGACATCCCTTCAAGGAAGATGTCATATATCGCCCAGGCCAATGGACCACCGTGGAGAAAGTGGTTTCCTCCAGTACCTGAGGGAATTAGCCATCCTGGAGGTGATTTATAGTGACCCAAACAATGAGCAGTTACCAAAAGATCCAGATGGAGTCCGGTGCACACAACCCCTGTGGCAAGAGGTGGTATGGAGCGCACCAGCATCGTGTGCCAACAACAATTTCAAATGGGACCTTGAACAACGAAAAGCCATTGAACAAATTAAACAGGAGATAGCTCATACAGTAGCCTTTGGGCCAGTCCAAATATATGTTCTACACCACAGCCAGGGAGAATGGTCCTACCTGGAGCCTCTGGCAGAAAGCACCAGGGGAAGAGTCAATGCTGACGCCCATGATTTTGGAGTCAGGGATACAGAGGATCCGAAGCCGCTTACTCCAACTGAGAAAGAGTTATTAGCAGCATATGAAAGGTTTTTGAGCTGCTTCAGAAGTGATTGGTACTGAAGCACAGCTCCTCCTGGCACCCTGACTGCCAGTGATGGGCTGGATGTTCAAAGGGAGGGCCCCCTGTACATGCAACTGATCCAATGTGGAGTAAGTGGGTCACACTGATCACACAATGGGCTCCAGTAGGAAACTCCAATTGTCCAGGAATCTTGGAACTGATCATGGCCTGTCCAGAAGGTAAAGATTTTGGAATATTACCAGAGGTGATGCGTGCTGAGGAAGCCCCACTGTGTAATAAACTGTCCAAAAATGAGAAGCAATATGCCCTGTTCACTGATGTGTCCTGCAGCCTTGTAGGATTGGTGGTGGAAGGCTGCTATATGGAGTCCTATATGACAAGTTGTGGAAAGTGCTGAAGGAGAAGGTGAATCGAGTCAGTCTGCAGAGGTGAAAGCCATCCAGCTGGCTTTGGATACTGCTGACAGAAAAAAAAGGCCAGTGCTCTATCTCTATACTGACTCATGGATGGTGGCAAATGCCTTGTAGGCGTGGTTGCAGCAATGGAAGTAGAGTAACTGGCAGCGTAGAGGCAAAACCATCGGGGCTGCCTCACTGTGGCAAGATATTGCTGCCCGGGTAGAGAACTTAGTTGTAAAAGTGCATCACGTAGATGTTCACATACCCAAGAGCTGGGTCACTGAAGAACATCAAAACAACCAGCAGGTGGATCAGGCTGCTAAGATTGAAGTGGCTCAGGCGGATCTGGATTTGCAACATAAGGGTGAACTATTTCTAGCTTGGTGGGCCCATGACACCTCAGGCCTTCAAGGAAGGGATGCAACATACAGATGGCGGTGGACTTGGCCATGGACACTATTGCACAGGTTATCCATGAATGTGAAACATGTGCTGCACTGCAATCAAACAAGCCAAGCAGTTAAAGCCTCTTTGGTACGGAGGACGGTGGCTGAAATACAAATATGGGGAGGCCTGGCAGATTTGATTATATCACACTCCCACAAACCCACCGTGGCAAGCACTGTGTGCTCACCATGGTGGAAGCAACCACTGGATGGTGGAAACATATCCTGTGCCCCATGCCACCGCCCAGAACACTGTCCTGAGCCTTGAAAAGCAAGTCCTATGGCAACATGGCACCCCAGAAAGAACTGAGTCAGACAATGGGACTCATTTCCAAAACAACCTTATAGACAAATGGGCCAAAGAGCACGGCAGTGAGTGGGTCTATCACATCCCCAATCACGCACCAGCCTCTGGGAAAAGTGAATGCTACAATGGGCTGTTAAAGACTACACTGAGAGCAATGGGTCTTGGGACATTCAAACACTGGGATGCCTATTTAGCAAAGGTCACCTGGTTAGTCAATACCAGGACATCTGCCAGTTGAGCTGGCCCTGGCCAATCAAAACTTCTACATACTGTATAGGGGGA